CAGACAACCACAAGGGAAACCACAACAGGGCACTAAGCAGGATGAGAACTGGGCCTAAATACCCCTTTTCTAGATCTGATAGGCTGTAACCGGCCTTTGACCCCAAAGCAGTTACCAGGTTCCCATTTCCATAATTGCTGCTCAGCATTAACCCTTCTGTGGATTTGCTTAACAGAGTGAAAGCCTGATATCTGGAGAAATAGTAAGGTAGTGGAGGGGTTAACCCTAAATATAAATATAGTTGAGGAGAAAGAGAGAGAAGCACTACCAAAGAAGTATGTAGTTTAAAAATTTTAAATTTTAATAGTGAACAAAATACAAAGTGATTATTTCACATATAGAATCATATTTGGTCTAGATATATATATTTCAAGACCCAAAAAGATCATATGAGAAAATATAAGATTTAAAAATCCAAAAACAGACAGTGTCTAATTGTCAAAAATATGAATGACAATTAGGGATAAATAAGTGGACACTGTCTACTGTAATAATACTATTGCAAAGTATCTAGGGAATACTTTGTTGCAGAAAACAGACTTTTGCTAGTGATACTGTTGCAATGTATTGGAATACTTTGTTGCAGAAAACAGACGTTTTTTTTTTTTTCTTATTTCTGTTTATAACCTACAGTAGCAGACGTTTTTTCTTTATTTGCAAAGTTTGAATAAGAACACCTTGTGCATATTGAAAGTATTTTTTTCTTAGCAGACGCTCCTCTTTCTATTTGCAAAAGTCTGTTTTCTGCAACAAAGTATTCCAATACATTGCAACAGTATCACTAGCAGACGCTGTCGTTTTATGTTCACAAAGTTTAACCAATGTTACTCTGAACATACTCAATTCTAGCAGCAAACGTTTTTCGTTTAGTTGTTAAGTCTGATTAACCATTAAATACCCTAGATACTTTGCAATAGTATTATTACAGTAGACAGTGTCCACTTATTTATCCCTAATTGTCATTCATATTTTTGACAATTAGACACTGTCTGTTTTTGGATTTTTAAATCTTATATTTTCTCATATGATCTTTTTGGGTCTTGAAATATATATATCTAGACCAAATATGACTCTATATGTGAAATAATCACTTTGTATTTTGTTCACTATTAAAATTTAAAAAATTTAAACTATATACTTCTTTGGTAGTGCTTCTCTCTCTTTCTCCTCAACTTCTGTGGATTTGGTTGCTGCTCGGCACAACTTTTCCTGTGTGGACAGTAAATGCCATTAACTACATTTTTATAAGCGGATGAATATGTGACAGTAACATAGCTGTGTGATACAAAAGTAAATACAAATACAAAAAAACAAATTCTGCACTCATGGCCTCTCATGGCCATTGGAGTAACTAAATAACCTATTTTTGTTTAAATATGCGTAAGGATTTGGGAAGAGTGCAGGTAACTTTTTTCTTTGGTTTTTACTGAATGTATTAGGGCTGATGTCTACTATGGTCATTGCTGCCGCCCACTAGTAGTGGGAGTTTGATCGCAGGACTTGTTTTTCTGTATTTCCATTTTTTTTTAAATTGGTTTAACAAAAAAACTATATTCTCCCTAGCAACCAAAATCTAGACTATTTGCTGCTGCCAACATCTTGTGTTTAACCTCCTTATCATAGGCGTGCGCAGCCTATTGCATTAGGGTGTGCACCCTAAAGCACAAACACACGCCGCGCGTGTGTGTGTGTGTGTATATATATATATATATATACACACACACACACTCACAGACACACAGACACACACACTCACAGACACACACACACACTCACAGACAGACACACACACACTCATACACTCACAGACACACACACACTCACAGACACACACTCACACACTGACACACACACACTCACACTGACACATACTACTCACACACTCACAGAAACAACACACTGACACACTCACAGACACTAGATGACACATACTCACACACTCACAGAAACACACACTGACACATACTCACACACTCACAGACACACACTCACACTGACACATACTCACACACTCACAGACACACACTCACACTGACATACTCACACAATCTAAATAAAAAATTCTAATTTTAGAATTCTAAATAAAGTTATGCTTTTCTGTGTTTTCTTCAGAAAACAATAAGATCTGATAATGCCTTCTGCTAGAAACAATACAATTAATTTCTTATTTCTCACACTAACTTGAATGTGCAGTAAACACATAATGTACAAAATACTTGAATGTTTCTGAAAATACAATAAAAAAATACTAAAAATACCTAAATAATAAAATAAAACCTCGAGCAACACTAGCAAGAATTACTACATAGTACTGTACTTCTAGCTAAATATGATGTCTGCCAATACTAATTAACCCCTTAAGGACTGAGCCAAATGTGCACATTGTGATCAAAACAAAACGTAAACAAAAACTTGAATTTGCGCTATACGTCTGTTCAGGCGTAATTCGCCTCTTTCATATTATGTGCACCCACAGTTAATATATATTATTTTATTCAGGGGAAACAGGGTTTTTATTTAACATCAAATATTTAGATATGAAACATAATTAATATGAATAAAATATTTTAAAATGGGAGAAAATAAGAATTGAAAAAAAATGTTTAGTTCAACGTGACATTACAACTGTGAATGTCATAATACTGTTTGCTTTTACAGCAATAAAATACACATATTTGTATTCAGCGATGTCTCACGTGTAAAACAGTACCCCCTATATACAGGTTTGATGGTGTTTTGGGAAGTTACAGGGTCAAATATAGCATGTTACATTTTTCACTTTTTTCACATTGAAATTTGCCAAATTGGTTACATTGTGTTTGAGACCGTATGGTAGCCCAGGATTGAGAATTACCCCTATGATGGCATACCATTTGCAAAAGTAGACAAGCCAAGGTATTGCAAATGGGGTATGCCCAGTCTTTTTTAGTAGCCACTTGGTCACAAACACTGTCCAAAGTGTGTGAAAAATGCAAAAAACTATATACATAATCCTTTAATTACTTATTAAATTGATATTCAGGTATTTGCTTACTACTTATTCTGCTTGGATGCTTTCATAGTACCTTTGATAATTATCTGTACATTATCAGCATGTGAGTCATGTTTGAATATTTTATGATATGCATTGTGAGATATCTATTTTCCTTGTACTTATCTCATGATATTTTTTTCATATTAATGGTTGTGCTCCTTGATTGGATATTATTTTTAATTTTACTTGGCCCTTTGGGAATAGGACCTTATTTAAGTGAGCACCTAGGCTTAGAATAATTCGTGTAAGACTTTTATATGACTTTTTATTGACTTTTACATTTTACCTTTTATATTTTATCATCCGCACGGATCAATTCCTGAGGATTTCACCCCTATTTTATTCTGTTATCTTAACTAAGACTTTTTACTTTCTACCATTTTTTTATTATCTACATAGGCCTACTTGTTGTTGTTTATCCATTTAGACCATTTGGTCTGGTTTCCACTGTTATAGACTACTGCTATTAGCCCTTACCCCCTTCATATCTTTTAGAATAATTTGTGTTGTTATTTTTTATGTGCCTACCTACTTCTAATCGTTATTAACAGGAATGTCCGTCAAGAGCTACAAAATAAGAAAAGGGTATTTAAAGCATTTATTGCAAAGGGGCCAGAGGCATTAAAAAAAAATAAAGATGTCAGCAATACTTGCAAAAAGACAATTCAATGGGCTAAACTAGAAAATGAAAACCAGATAATCACAGAGTTCAAGATCGACCCCAAAAGTTGTTTGAAAACATACATTCTAAAAAACTCAAGAGTGAAAAAGTTGGATCACTGAAATCAGAAATAGGTGTGCTAGTAAAAAAGGATATTGACATACTTTTTTTTTTTTTTTTTAGTAGGACCTATAATTTTTCAAAGAGGATCTATAATTACTGCAAAACTCTTATAGATAAAATATTAACATAAGTAAAGCCTGAGGCATAGATGGTATTTACCCATAACAACTAGGAGCACAAAGGCCCTTATTTCACATTTTTGGATAAGCTTTTCAAATTATTTAATATTTTTAAATAAACTTTTAAAATTCTTTTTTTATATAAATATGTCACATCAAAATATATCAATACATAAAAACATTAAAATATTTTCCAAATTTTTAAAGTTTATTGAAAACAAAATTAAATCCAGGCCAAAGTGTGATAATAGCCAAACGTTTTTTCATTTTTCAAGATTCATTTCTTGCAAGAATTGTACCAAAGCATTGGAAAAAAAGTATATGTAGTCCCCATATTTTAAAAATCTCAATAAATAAATTGTAGACCTGTGAACATCTATGGGTGGGAAATTATTTGAAGTGTTATTCAATGATCATATTCAAATCTTTGTAAGCACCTATGCCAGTATTAGTTATTAAGATTGTTTTATAAAATATGAAAATGTTGAATGGCTTTAATTGAATTCTATGAACGAGTCAATACTTCTATAATGTTGTAGTAGATATCATCTCTTTGGATTTTGCAATGGAATTTTGAGATGCCTCCTAACAATAGGTTACTGTATAAATAAAAGCAATTGGTTTAGATGAACATTATATTTCTCACTGACTTGCAGCTGAAGTACAAAAACTAGTCGTCAATGAACAAATATCAATTTGGACATTTTAGGTCTGTTCTGGGTTCAGATATTGGGAGGTGTGTTGGAATGCCTGCACAGTTTTGCAAGGCAGCAGACAGGAATTGTGCAGTGTTTGTGCAATGGAGTTGGTGGTCAACAGAGTCTGTGTCTAAAGCATGCACAGATCACTGAATGTTCATACTGAAGAATGTTGCAGTGTAATATAATGTAATATCTGGTATCTGCGGGAGCCTCCAATGGTAAAATATATATATTCAAAAAAAGATGAGTAGCTTGGTACTCACCCTTTCTCCTGCTGTGTAGTTTAATGCCCTGGTGTAATCCCGCGTTAGCAGATATATATACCTTGAAAAGAGATGCACTCTCCGGTCTTTTATAAACAAAATACTATTTTAATCCAAATGTCAGTTTACATTCAGATCAAGCTGAATGTAAACTGACATTTGGATTAAAATAGTATTTTGTTTATAACAGACCAGAAGTGCATCTCTTTTCAAGGTGTGTGTGTGTGTATATATATATATATATATATATATATATATAATGCTCAGCTTATGTATGACCATCCACAATGATATCTGTGAGTTTTGATTGAAAAAAAAAAAATCAATTGTTCTTGTCCTCCAGCCCTTATAGTTCTCTCCTTATTGCCTTTCAATCTGTTTATTAATGATCTTGAAATATTAATTAAAAGTCATACATCAATGTTTGACGAAAAACAAAAACTAAGTAAGATAATTCAATGCGAACATAATATTACTTTGCTGCTGTGGGACTTTGATGATTTAAGAAACTAGACAGCAGGGTGGCAGATGAGATATAATGTAGATACATGCAAAGTTATGCATTTTGAGGTGAGGGATGCACAAGAAACTTATATCCTAAATATTGTTGAGTAAGGGAATATAATAAATGAGAAGGTCTTGGGAATAGTTATAGACAAAAGACTAGGCAACAATGTCAGGCATTCCTATTGATGAGTGACATTTGTGTGTCTGTTCTTCTTTAACTCTTACCTACAGTTTTGTAGCCTAGAGCTATGATACAATCATTTGTATCAATAATGATCTGCAGTACTTGCATTCCTTACTAGCAGATTATGTCATTTGATCAGCTTTGTTCGCGCATGCCTATTTTGATCCCTTAAATGGGACAAGCGCAGCCGCAGTTTGGAACCCATTATGCGTTCCATTTGCCAATTTCATTTGTTTATTTCTTTCTTTAGTGCGCATGCGTGAGTTCATGGTCCTGCCTGGTTTCCAGCGGTTGAATGCCGTGGTTCGGACTTAACTCCTTCCATGATATATAATGCTCAGCTTATGTATGACCATCCACAATGATATCTGTGAGTTTTGATTGAAAAAAAAAAATCAATTGTTCTTGTCCTCCAGCCCTTATAGTTCTCTCCTTATTGCCTTTCAATCTGTTTATTAATGATCTTGAAATATTAATTAAAAGTCATACATCAATGTTTGACGAGAAACAAAAACTAAGTAAGATAATTCAATGCGAACATAATATTACTTTGCTGCTGTGGGACTTTGATGATTTAAGAAACTAGACAGCAGGCTGGCAGATGAGATATAATGTAGATACATGCAAAGTTATGCATTTTGAGGTGAGGGATGCACAAGAAACTTATATCCTAAATATTGTTGAGTAAGGGAATATAATAAATGAGAAGGTCTCGGGAATAGTTATAGACAAAAGACTAGGAAACAATGTCAGGCATTCCTATTGATGAGTGACATTTGTGTGTCTGTTCTTCTTTAACTCTTACCTACAGTTTTGTAGCCTAGAGCTATGATACAATCATTTGTATCAATAATGATCTGCAGTACTTGCATTCCTTACTAGCAGATTATGTCATTTGATCGGCTTTGTTCGCGCATGCCTATTTTGATCCCTTAAATGGGACAAGCGTAGCGGCAGTTTGGAACCCATTATGCGTTCCATTTGCCAATTTTATTTGTTTATTTCTTTCTTTAGTGCGCATGCGTGAGTTCATGGTCCTGCCTGGTTTCCAGCGGTTGAATGCCGCGGTTCGGACTTAACTCCTTCCATGATGGAACGCACATGCGTTCCACCCGACCTTCGTTACAGACAGAGTTGTTGCTGCTATGCCCAAATCCTCAAAAATCATCTCCGGTTCCCCTGTCAGCTTAATGAGACATTGACACTATTAAGGTATGAGATTGTTGCCTCATTTATGAGTAGGTTACTGATGGTATGGATTTGCTATCAATATTATTTTATTTTGTATACAATATGAGGATCACAGGAGTTTTGCTTGGGATTTACATGATATTCTATCTATATATGTCTTTTTATTACTATGTTTCACTCTGTCATTTTTTTTTCTTTTGGATCTAATATGTACATTTTATGTATATGATAAAGTGATACATTTGATTTGTATATTGGTTACCTTATCAACCATAGTCATGTGACTATGATTGTGGGAGTTCCAATTATTCATGTTAATGTATGTTGGTATATAAAGGTTATTATGTCCTCTTTACCACATGCTCCCTTGATAAAGGCGGATAACGCTAAAACGTTGGGGGCTATTTTGTATTTGACGTCTGTACCCTCTTCTCATATTCCTTGTTTTTTGGTATGTATCTTTTTGTTCACTATTATATACAGGTATCATAATCTGTTTTTCTATTTTTTTCTTTGCTTCTAGTCATCGCTTGCATATTTGACAGAGCTGTTTGAGTATTTTGACACTCTAAGATGTCTTTGTTGATACCTGTTATATATGTTTTTGTATAATAAAGCTTTTTAGTATTTTTTATAGGTTGTGCTCCTCCTTTCAGTATTATATGATTATATTAGTAGCCTTTTGGAAATGGGGCTTTGGGAGTGAGCACCCTTATTTTCACTAGTTTTCCTAGTTAAATGTTTGTCTGTTTATCGGGTGTGTCCACCTGTCCCTTGTTAATAAGCAGTTGCTAAGGTCAGTAAAGTTTTGCCATGCATAAAAAGGGGCATTAATTAATGGAACGAAAACATAATTTTGCATCTTCATAGATCAATTATTAACAACCCACCGGCAACTTTGAGCCCTTGTTTTAGAGAAGGATGTTACAAAATGTTAGAAAAATGCAGAGACGGACTACACAATTAATGAAGGGAAAGGAAGATATTAATTAAAAAGAAATAATACAAAAAATTGCTTGTTTACTTTAGAAAAAGACATGTCAGAAGGGATATGATAACATCCATTTCATATGGCTTATATGGTTCATCTATAATTAACAGGATGGAAGGGGACAGGGAGAGTGACAAGAAGGATTTGGCACCATAAAATATGAAAGTAATATGGGCACAACAGTTATGGTTCTAAAGAACACCTTTAGGATCAACTTTAGATTTGTTGGGAACATCTATTTAATGAAAAAAATGATGAAAATCAAGTTTGTTTATCTTTAAAATTGTGCTGTCTGTGAAATAATTGCTTCTTAATCCAGACAAATAATTACCAGCTGCTTGGCATATTCTATTTTGAACCCATTCATTACATGCAAATGCATAGTGTGTCTACTGTGACATCACTGTCCCCATTTTAATTCAATGTAAACAAAGTCAAATCAAATTAGTAGGTTAAGACATGTTTCAAGAAAAGGTTAAGATTGAGGCATTTAGAGAGACACAGTGTAGAAGTTAAACTTAGAGAAAGGTAGAAAACACAAGGGGCAAAAAGAACATGTGCAAGAGATATTAGATGTTTAGCATACAGTAACAACTATTTTTGGTGGTCCCTAATTAATATCGATCAATCAATAGTTACATTTCACTTTGCACTAGAACAACTGAATCTTAAACTTGTTAAGTGCCATATTGTTTTTGTATAGATCACATGTAAGGCTTGAGAAATGTTTGGAAAACAAACCAAAGCCACTTAGCACAAATCCACATGTTATTATGATGGAAGGAATTAGACAATTGTCTATTCAGCATTTGTTAAAATCACCAGTGGTGGTTTTGAAGACATCTGAATAAAATTATTGAAAAATAATACAGTTAATAAAGTCCACCTTTCAATATCAAGTCAGTTGATACAATACATTTAAATTAAAGTGATTATTATTGTAAAACAACTGCTGCTATTCTTTTGTACGTCTCTTTTTTCCCTCTGTTTCTCCATCCAGTGCAGGCTTTGCATCACAAGCATCTCAAGCATCCCCCAATTCCCCCTCTTCAAAAGTAATAAAAAAAACTTGACTGCTTAAATGTGACAACAATTACTGGATATATGCACACACATAAAGAGTGACTGTGTGTGTGCAAATGTGACAGTGTGTGTTTAAAAGTCTGAGTGAATGTTTATGCATTTCTGTGTATGTCTGTCATTGTGTGTTTACGTACAGCACAGGTTCCTTAGCGCCCCCTGGAGACAGCCAGCTGGGGAAGACTAGGCAAATGCTTACCCAGTTGGCAGATGCGTTCTCTGTCTGAATGTTCTGGGCTCTTTCAACACTGCTCCATCGTGCTCTGCATTGATGCCGGGAGCAGGGTTATAACATCACTTCATCAATCAGCACCCAACGGTGCAGTACTGGAACACCATGAAGATGCTACACTAGACCCCAGGAGAAGGATCCCCACTGGGGGAAAGGATCCCCACTGGACCCCAGAGAAAGGATCCATTCCAGCTGGGGACTTAATAATAATATTAGTGTCTACATGTTTCATTTTGAATTTAAATCAGTAGAAATTACTTTCTTGAAGCAGGGGTACTTAGGAATTTTGTTTAGAGCTGCAAGGATACTTCTCTATAAAAACAAACACTGGTGTAGAGTGTATGTGTGTGTGTGTGCACATGCGCGGGCATGCGTGTGAAGTAGTAGCAATATATATTAAAGGGAAACTATAGTCATCAGAACAACTACAGCTTAATGTAGTTTGTTCTGGTGAGTATAATAGCTCCCTTCAGGTATTTTTATGCAAGCACAGCCTTTTCAGAGAAAAGGCAGTGTTTACATTGCCCCTAGGGACACCTCCAAGTGGCCACTGCTTAGATGGCCACTGGAGGGGCTTCCTGGCTCAGGGCTGCACAGTAATTATCCCTGCTATTCAGCGTTTTCGGCACTCTGCCTGGAGACACTGAATTGTCCTCATAAAGGTGCATTGATTCAATGCATTTCTATGAGGAGGTGCAGATTGGCCAAAACGGTGTTTGATCCCACCCCATTGTCAATTTTAGCCAATCCAATGCTTTCCCCGTGGCAATTTCATGATGTTACCAAGGGGGCAGGGCCAGCGCTGGCAGACCAGTGGAGAGCTGGAAATAAGGTGAGTTTGAACCCATTCTGAGCTAAGGGGCAAGCCACTTAAATGGTGGGTTTTCACTATAGGGTCAGGAATACATGTTTGTGTTCCTGACCCTATAGTGATCCTTTAAGGAATAGCTCTCAAACAAAAAAAAGTATTAAATTATACAAGGCTACTTAAAATCACC